AAAAAAAAAAAAGATATAACCAGTACCTTTTACATTACCTCATTTAATTTTCATGCTATTAACCATCGTATAGACAAGGAAACTAGAGGCTAACATGCCCAAAGTCACACAGCTAGTAAATAGCAAAGTTCAAACACAGAAATGTCCAATTCCAGTCATTGCTGTGACAACTAATCTAACTAATCTGTTTTAGTCTTCATCACTTAATAGATGGTCTGATTTATGTTAACTGTGCCCATGGCCTGGCACTGAACATCATCGCATCTGGCAACTGTACTACTGAATGAATGAAAAGATAGATGAGGTCACATTTTCAGAGGTGGGGATTCCATTGTGCTTTGCCATTATGACACCCGAGGGGCCTCCTTTCAACTTCATTCTTAAACTTCCTCAGTTGCCCACATACTACTTCCTAGGGTGATGCATTCCTCTAGAGAGCTTACTACCTTGAAGATGCCAAACTCTTTCATCTGAAGGCCTTCTGATATGCTCTTTTGCCTGAAATACTCTCCCTGCTCCTCTTCCAGTGGTCCCCATCTCTCCAGTCTACGTCTATCCACGCTTTTGCTCAAGTCAAAAACCTACGAATCAAACTTGATTTTCCCATTACCCACCTTGCTCCATTGCTGTAATTTAGTCAGAAGTGATGGGAAATCTAATACATGTCCATCAATCAGCAAGTTCCAGTTAGCAGGGAAAAAGAGCACATTCCGGGCACTGAGAAATGGAAATGTAAACCCAGTAATGGGAGCTGGGACAGCTTGACAGGAGGTAAGAATTTGGGAGCTCTGACCTGTGGCATGTCATTGGCAAAATCATCTAAGCCTGTTTCAGGGAGCAGGATCTCTGACTAGCTCCCAAAAGATACTGGGATATTTTCTCCCTAGTATCCTAGACAGCTCTGGGAGCATTCAGATTAATTGCAAACTGGTAATAGTCAACCACTGAGGATATAACAGGGAATGAAGAGCTATTAAAGAAAACTTCTCTGGGTTCTGGGATGTGTCTAATAACAACATCATGATGATGGAAAGCCTGGGAGTCAGGCCTGACTTGAGCCATTAACTTGCTGAGTGACCCTAACAGATTCTTCAACCTCTCTACAACTCAGTTCCTCTGTAAAACAGAGCTAGTTCCCTTGCAGAGGTGTGAGGATTAAGTTTGAACATGAACATACATATGCATGTAGGTAGGTGGATAGAAGACAGACTAAATTCGGTGTACCTCAACTATTACATTTCTTCTCTTCCCTCCCCTTTAATCTTCAAGATTAAAACACTAAAAACACAAACTCACATTATATTGGACTGATTAAATATTGCAAGTTTAAAGAGACAAGTTAATTGTCCTCCAGGATTATTTTGGTTTCTCATTTTTTAAAATGTTTTACTTATTTAAAAGAAACAGACACACACATTCTGCCTAGTTCTACTGAAACCTCAAACTATTTATGTGCCAACAACATCCCAATTGAATAATCCTTAAAACCCTAAACATTCAGACTTTGTTCCCGAAGTCTGTGGGAGAGCAAGCTTTGTATCAGTGTGAAGGAGAGTGATCCACTCCTGTTGTGAAGGTTTCTGGAAGAAACGGAGTCGCAGCCAGGAAGGTGATTCCAAGATTTCCAAATGCTTCTGGCTGAGGCCTTTAGATATTTTTTGAAACAGATTCTGAGTATCAAACACACCTTTATTCAAGTGGAAGTACAAAAGCACATTCCTAAAACCAAATGCATACATGTGATTTTTACATATTCTGCTATTTAGGGATTAATCTGTTTCATAATCACCAGAAGTGACCACTGGTCTCTGTACATAAGGGCATACACGTGGGAAAAAAAAAAAAACATGCATTTTTCATTTGCTTTTACATTTAAATCAATGCATTTAGATCTCTACTTTGCCCTGATAAGATCCTATGCTTGCTGATGACTAAGAGGCAAAATACGGTGGTAGAACTATCTTAGAGCTTAGCCATAAGAGGATTACAGAATAAGCAGTAAATTGTTATATATTTGTTGAGAATCCCTAGTGAATATTATAACATCTGAACTATGAAGGCCTCACTTGCTGGAATGACAATAAGAATTTTAAGTAACACCTGTCTTATTCACAAAGTGTTACAAAACTTAAGATGGAAAAATATAATAAAATGCTTTGACAACATCTAAAGAATCATGAATTCTTGGCTAGGTGCTGACAGTGACCCCGAACTCTGGACATCCTGACATCTGTGATCACTTTTATCAATCAAAAAACCAAGTTCTTTTATATGGCCTGTAGACTCGTAAAATACAGAAAATGCAATGATGAACAAACAATTATACACAAAGCCCCCACACTTCAAATACTGTCCTGGATTGACGGGAGAGGGGGGCAAAAATCCAAACAGATAAAGAAGCAATCGTAGCAGTTAAAAATTTACCAGGAAGACCTGCCACTCTCTTGAAATACTCTCTCCAGAGAGATTACAGAAGAACAGCTTTTGTTGTTTTTTTTTTGAAAAGCTGCATTCTCTTATGAAGTTCTCTGACTTTTCTGTGTATGTTCTTTATATTTTGCCCTATCAAAAGCAGACCTGAGCATTTTGCTGTCCTTCAACAGAAGTATATAAAATAATTCTAAACTTTGACATGCAGAACAGGCGCTGAATGAATGTAGCTAGACCATCAGGAGTCTTGTTGGCTCCCTGATGTCCTTATCTCTTTTAGAGGGCTGTGGATGCAGACAAGACAGCTATTGGGTGGGGTGTCATTTGAAAATGTTTAGCTGCCTGATGCAAACACAGTAGAGATGGAATCCTTCAAACTCATGGATGGACAGAAGGTGGAAATCCAATTCTTTTTAAAGGTAGATGCTTCACTTTAGGAAAGAAGACACCAGAACACAAACATCAAGTAGGGACGGCAAACCTGCTGGTGAGAAGCTTAAAACTAGAAAACCATCATTTGAAGATACTAAGAAAATGGAGAAATTAACAGGAATCCAAGTGTTGTGGCTGGAAAACAACAGGAAAGTAGGATGCTCAGAAAACAGCAGACCTAAGAGTCTGTTTTGGAGAGAACTTGGGCTGAGAACAGCAGAAAAATCTAAATGAGCTGCTTTCCAGAAGTTATGTTTTTACATGGGTGTATTAACATTATCTTAGAGAAGCTGTAACAGGAACCAAATTTCAGGAAAAATAAAAATGTTCACAGGCCATAAATGAGTTCCATAAATAAAGTTTATATACCTACCTATACCACCTATTAAATAAAAGAATGCCATGAGGAAACAGCATTGCATTCACCAAGTCACTCCTCAGACTATCTTCTTCTGCAATGAAAAAATCAAGGCTATATATTAACAATTTTATATAAAATTTTCTCTCCAGTATTTTGATGTTGAGTAAAGCCTGAAATGTGGAGGTACATTTTTTCCATTTGCATTATATCAGATTCTGGTCTGGTGTGGAGATTCTAATGATGAAAAAAGACTTGAACTCCCACTGAAAGATCTGTCACCTTTGCTACACTTGAATGGCTTCTCCTGGGCACAGATTCTTTGACGTTGAATAAGGGGTAGACTATGACTGAATCCTCCCATGCGCATACATGCTTATTACATTCATAGGCTTTCTGCATGGAATGAATTTGATGCTGAACAAGGTAGTTTCTTTGAAGGCTATTTCACATTTATTACAGTGATGGAATTTTATTCCAGTAAGAATTCTCCAATGGTGACTAAGGTATGAAAATAGCATGAAGCATTTACCACATTCAATATATTCATAGATTTTCTCATTGGTATGGGTTTGCAGATGTCGATGAAGTTTAACACTGACAAATAGTTTTCCTACATTCATCACATTCAGAGGGTTTCTCTCTGGTGTGGATTCTCTGATGCTGAATAAGGTTGAGCTATTGACTGAAGGCTTCACCACCTTCAGTACATATATAATTTCTCCCTGGTGTGAACTCTCAGATGTTGAATGAGGCCTGACTTTGACTAAACGTCTCCCCACGTTCGTCACATTCATAAGGTTTCTCTTTGGTATGAATTCTTTGATGTTGAACAAGGTGTGCTCTCTGACTGAGGTTCTTTTCCCATGCATCACAATCAAAGGCTTTTTCTCTGGTGAGGACTTCTTGCTGCAGAACAAGATCTGAGCTATGATTGAAACTTTCCTCATAATCATTACACTCATAAGACTTCTCTTTCCCATGAATTTTGTGATGCTGAATAAGGCATGAAGTTTGACCGAAAGCTTTTCCACACTCATTACATTCGTGTGGTTTCTCTCCTGTGTGAATTCTTTGATGCTGAATAAGATGGGAATTCAATCTGAAGTCTTTTCCACATTCATTACACGTATAGGGCTTTTCTCTGAGATGAATTCCTTGATGTTTCATAAAGGTCAACCCACAATCATTGTATTCATAGGCTTTCTCTTCACAGTGGACTTTCTGATGTTCGGCAAGGTATGAGGTATGATGAAAGTCACTGCCACATACAGTACACTTACAGGGCATCTCTCTGTGAATCTTCTGATGTTGAGTAAGATGTACACTACGACTGAAAACCCTTTCACAATTACTACATTTATAAGACTTTGCTCTAGTGTGAATCCTCTTATGTGGAGTTATGTCTGAGCTCTGACTACAGGATTTATCAGATGCTTCACAGGATTTATCAGATGCTTCACATTTATAGGGTTTTTCTCTAGTGTGTATTCTTTTATGTCGACTAAGACTTGAACTCTGACTGAAAGATTTTTCACATTCTTTACATTTGTAGGGTTTCTCTCTAGTATGAATTCTCTGATGTCTAGAAAGGGCAGAGCTCTGATGGAAGACTTTCTCACATGCATCACATTTATAGGATTTCTCTGTGGCAGGAATGCTGTCACATTTACTAAGGTGGGAGAGATCCATTAAGCTTTCCTTATATTCACTACTCTGAACATCCTGTATGAGATTTATTTGTTCTTGTTTACCAGCAGCTGAATTCTGGTTCACACCCATGTCATACTTATCAGTATCATCAATATTCTGTATTCTAAGAACTCTCTGTTCTGTATCAAGGGTAGAGTCCAGATTGAAGCTTTTTTCAGGTTCATTACATTCATTGTCACTGGTGAAGGCTTTCTTGCTGATTGTTATCTGCCTAAATTCTCTCTCCAGGAAGAGAAATTTCCTTAGGATTTCCTGAAGCCTTTCTAATCTGTCCTCAGGTTTAGACACTTCTCTAGTCCCAGGAACTTGGGCAATATCCTTTTTGAGTCTTCCTACTCTCACTTTGTATGAATGTACTTCTTCCAAAATTTCCTGCTTAGGAATCAACAGCTTGTTCTCTTCTCTGGTCTCTCCATCTGATTCAACATATAAATAGAAAATGCAAATGTAATCTGTACCCTGTGCTTAGGGGGAAAAAAAAAAAAACCTCAGAGAGGAGAAAACTAAATAATCTACAATCTACTAATATGAGAGTTTATTTACTCTGAAGCACAGGCACAAAATCTCAACAGCAGATGCAAGGACATGAATAGGAGCAGTGAGGTAATATACAAATGGTTCAGGGTGTGGTAGAAACAGAGGACATTTTTGGCAAAGAAGATAACCAATTACGGTGTTTCAAAGCAGGTAATAGGGAAGTAGTTCAAAAGAATTACAGATAAGCAACTTGAACAGGGACCCAGTACAACTTGTGGATAAGGGATAAAGTAAATGCAAAGAATTCATCAAAACCGAAGGGAAAAGGAAGGAGCTCGCCATCTAGTATGTAGACCGAGCTCTCTTCATTCTGACTGCCAAAGCAGCTACAATGTGGCTCAACAACTTGACTCTTACTTCCTAATTCCATCTGATTGATTCTACCTTACTCACCTGAGCAGTCATCTCTTAAGACTTCTCTATTCTTAGTTTCCAGATCAAAGACCTGTAGATCTTGTTCCCGCTGGGAGATCCCATCAGGCTTGGAAATTGGAAATCCTGCTCACAGAGAAGGAAATGGGATGTGGCGATTTATCCCCAGACACTACACAAAGAACACTTTTTCTCTTAACTAACAGTTAATGGAGAGAGAAAGTAAATTCTTAGAAGACATTAGGGAAGGGCTGGAGAGTGAGAAGGGCAAAGATCCTCTACAGAGAGCTCCTACCTGTGCTCCAGGAAGAGGTGTGTTACGGGGCAAGTTGATGACTTTGGGAGAAGTATTCATATAAACATTACTCAGACAAGGGAATTGGTGCATGAGTGTGTACCTGTCTTCACAGAAGTGATCATTTTCACTCTTCAGCTGTTGCCTATAGATCAATCTTTGTATTAGACCTGGTCTACAAGTATTAGACCAGGTCAAAAGGGAAGTCATCAAAATATAACTTCGCTGGACTGGAGGAAGGTGAATACTCAAGCACCTGTTGTGTGGTGAGCTAAACTGCAGCAACAGAATCAGTGAGGACTGATATTCCAAGAACCAATCTCAAGAAACTTCACCAATCTCAATTCGCTTCAGTGCATATGAGGAAACAAAAAATAACATAACACATTCTTACCCATTAGGAGTTACACTCTTGTTTATTCAACAAACATCTACCAGGTGCCTCCCATATGGAAATTATGTAGAGACAGATATAAACAACTAACTATAATACGACACAGAGAGACAAGTGCAATGAAAGTGCACCTTCACATAAAAAATGGTCTTTCTTGGCTTACATAATGGACTGCTACGATCTAATCTCTTTTAAAGCAAAAGCAAGAAGCAGTCTGATCCTGAGGGGGGCAGAACTATCATAGTATCAAAGGGGAAGTTTTTATATGTCTTCAGACCAGAAATCTTCTAGTAGCACACATCCATGGGCTAGCTTAAGCCCGTCAACTCCAAAAGCCTTTTTCTCCACTTACTGTCTACACAATTTATTATTTGTTCCTCTTATCCTGACATGTCACTATATAATGGAGTTTATAGATTTTTATTTAACCGGCTTCAGGAATTATCATCCCTACTTCATTTATAAACTCTTACTAGCAGGGACCATGTATCTTATATCTTTTAATTCTTTTGATTTATTTACTTGAGAGCTACTTCACGAGTGCCAATTTTGTGTCCTAGCGTCAACGTGTAACAGATAACTGGTTTATAAAAGGGCACTGGGCCTGTAAAATACGACAAACCAACAGCCATCCTCTTAGGATGCCTATGAACAGGCAGGTACAGAACAGATAAAAGAGAGGCATTTACTGCGCTTCTGAATTCCTGCTGGGCATTAACAGTCTATTCCCCCCTTTGGAAGCTTATTTAGTTGAGGTCCTCCATGTCAAATGAAATAGTTTTCAAGTTTTTAAAAAAAAAAGCATGGCATGAAGCAGCAAATATCCTCAGAATTCTGGTAACAGAATTTGTTAACTTTTAGCTCAGATATCAAAGTGTTTCTAAGTATTTGATAACTGAAGCAAATTTTGCTTATTTATTCTATATCTATACCCACATCACCTATACACAACAAAAAAGACTGTCTCCATGTGGAAAGAAGGGTTTGATTTTAGATTGTGTTTAAGGTAATGCAGTCAGGAATAAGAGAAAATGTTTAGTAGGCAGTTAGAGATAAAATACTACAGTTCTGGGGGCACCTGGGTGGCTCAGTCGGTTAAGCGTCTGCCTTCGGCTCAGGTCATGATCCCGGGATCCTGGGATCGAGTCCCCACATCAGGCTCCTTGCTCAGCGGGAAGCCTGCTTCTCCCTCTGCCCACCGTTCCCCCTGCTTGTGCTCTCTTTCTTTGACAAATAAATAAATCT